CGATAAACCTCCTATATGTGGAATTAAATTTCTTCATTGTGCTGCCATCTGCCAGTAGTACTATGTAGCATACAAAGTAAACTCAATAGAAACCTACAGCAGCCATTCCGGCAATATTTCAAGCACTTTAGTACTACAGTAAGTCCGATCACAGATGTCGCAGCGGTGTACTTACTGAGAAAATAAATACGCAATGCATTGCCTTGATGAGTTAAAGAAATTGTATCGTAAATAACAAAAATGAATCAACAACAAACTTTATAAAGATTTTATATTTTTATATACAAGAGTGTACAATAATATGCATTAACGCCGAATAAAAAGAAGAAACAAAAACATAGTACAAGCAAAACAAATATGTAATTTAACAATGATCATTTCGTTACTTAAACATATATAATATGGGCCTACGGTGTACACTTATATTAAGGAAAAAAACGAGGTAACGTATGTATACTTTTATTAAGGCAATAACTTAAATACATCTTTCCAACAGACTTCTCCTTATCTGAAATTTACAGCCGCGTAATTTCGTTCACTTAAAATCAATCACTTCTATCCTACATACCATACACCTTAACGAGGACGTATAACGTGTTTTTCTTTCAAGTATAAGTAAAAATTAAACTATATACAAAAACATGGAAACAAAAGCAACTGCTTATAACAGTTAAATTTTCTCAGAATTCAAAACACCAATTTCCTACTTATTTCCATTTATTTATGCATTACAATATATCACTTGTTTTATCTTTCTTCATCTTTTTTTTAAGGAACTAATAGAATCCATGGTTTACTCTGACTAACCGGAAAAGTGCGTTAGACAAGATTCTTTGTTGTTTTTTTATTAATAAAGAATAAAACTTGAATGTTTTTGGATCATAAGTAAATAAATTTTTTACGTTACAACTTACCAACGGACGTTTCCGGCAATTATATAAAGTGCACGCACGTGCACCCTTATTACACTTCTTGTTTGCATTACCACTGAGGATTTATGTTGTGTTTCGATAGGTGGCGTCACTGATCGGCATTAGGCCACCGTTACAAACGTACCGATGATTTCAAGTCCTCGTCCTCGAGGGGCGTGGATTCTGTTGAAGACGCTTTTACGTAATCCGGTCCCTTTTTGTTTCTCACGTAGTCTTCTTTTATATGAACTCCTACTATTTCTGATCCAGGAATTTCAAACATGGGCTCCAGAAGTAGCGTTTCCTGAAAAATCACAGGTTATTATTACTTGGTTATTTCCTCTCCTCGATAACTATAGAGGTATGTGGAATAAGAACTGTTATAATTTATCTATAAGTTAAAATTCTTACCATGATCGCTCGCAGTCCTCTAGCGCCTGTTTTCCGTTCCATAGCCATTCTTGCAATAGCTTTCAGAGCTTCCTGAGTAAAAGTCAGTTCACACTGATCCATTGCTAACAGTCTCTGGTACTGAGGTATAATGGCGTTTTTGGGCTCTGTCAATATTCGTACAAGCAACGATTCGTCCAGGCTGTGAAATGGTACTAGTACAGGAAATCTTCCCACAAATTCCTGTTAGCAAAAAACAAAACGAAAATTGCCCATAAAAAAAAAGAATGGAACGTACTATATTATTTCATGTACACACATTACTTGACAAATAAAGTTATTGTCCCTTATTGTTGAATATAATGCTATTGTAAATGTCAAAATAATATGAGAATACATACCGGTATCATGCCAAAGTCGATCAAATGAATCATGTATATCCATATTAAATAAATTTTTATTAAATTTCTTCATTGTGCTGCCATCTGCCAGTAGTACTATGTAGCATACAAAGTAAACTCAATAGAAACCTACAGCAGCCATTCCGGCAATATTTCAAGCACTTTAGTACTACAGTAAGTCCGATCACAGATGTCGCAGCGGTGTACTTACTGAGAAAATAAATACGCAATGTATTGTCTTGAGTTAAAGAAATTGTATCGTAAATAACAAAAATGAATCAACAACAAACTTTNTGGTTGTACTGCTGCTCTTCGTCCCTTGCTTTCCACCACAGCTGCTCCAAAACCTAAATGCTACAAGGTAACTATTTTATTGCTGATTGTTAACTATATTTAAAAAAAAAGTACTACCCTAACCATTGAACATTTATAATTTTCTTAATAAATAAAATTTGAATGCATACATAAAAAATCGATCAGTTTTATTAAAAATTCCAAAACGTTATTATGATTACCTATGCAAGTCTTTACTTTAATAACGACTTACATTTTGATTATTTCTCCTAAGTATCAACTTTTCCAATCCATTATAAGCTCCACTCGCAACAAAGAGGATGTTGGTGGTGTCGACTTGGATCGTCTCGCCTCGTAATTTTCTTGGAGAATTCCGTTCGGGCACATTAACGATGGTACCCTCTAACATCTTCAACATACCCTGTTGCACACCTTCGCCTCCCACATCCCTCAGTTGATGTATGCCAGGAACTGCCCCAATCTTGTCGACCTCGTCGAGGAATACGATCCCTATTTGAGCCCTCTCAATGCTGTAACTTGCATCCTGAAGCAGTTTACCGATCACACTTTCGATATCCTCACCAACGTAACCAGCCTGTGTCAAGGTCGTACAATCACAGATCGCAAATGGTACGTCCAAACATTGGGCTATTGTCTGAGCAAGTAGAGTTTTACCTGTAAACAATTTTTATTCAAAAGATTCAATATTTATTCAACTTTACAATTTTAAAGTAAACCCAAAAACCAATTTTATTATTTTTTCAGTCCCTTACAAAGCACGTGACAGTAAATTAAAACTCACCAGAACCGGTTGGCCCGAGCAGTAGTATGTTACTCTTTTCTAGTTTGAGATCGTGTGTCGTTTTGTCCAATATATCGGAACCGGCTGCGCTTGCGCTCTGACTTTTATTGCCCGTTGAATTGACAGAAGAATCGCTGTAATGACTGGGAAAGTGGATGCCCAATGAACCGCCATGCGATAAACCTCCTATATGTGGAACGTCTACACAATATCAACAAATAACGGCGATACCAGCCACAATACAATTTTAAAATTGAGGCTAAATATTATTGTAATAAATAAATAGAAATATCAATTATTTCCGCACATTAACTAATAAAAGTATAAGTAAAAAATTCCATTTACTACAAAGGGAAATATGCACAATAAAATAAAAAAATAATTTAACGAATTGATTTCTAGTTGCTTAATTTTAAAAAACACGATTAGATATTTTGTAA